TTCACACTGCAAGTTTTGCTGACTTCTGAGGCTCAATGTGAGATCTTCTATATATATATATATATATATTTTTTTTTTTCAATTTGCATGCAATAAATATGCCTAATCCTGTACTATATCATCATCATAACTGCCACCATCACCACCACCAGTCATCATCTCAAAACTTTATATTAGGACTTAGGCTGTGCCATAGTAAGTAAGTTTCCATAGTAAAGTAAACTTCACTACATGATGCTTGTACACTGGACAACTACAGCACATTAAAACGTCACTGTGGATCAGTGGCTTTTCATTAAATTTGGTACACTGAGTCAGTTATAAAATTTACTGAAAAATTTCCTTCCGATCCACACTGGACAACACAAAAGCTCTGTATGAGGTGTTTATACAGAAATACTGTTATACTTCGATAGTATGAAATTTAGTGTGTGTGATTATAGCCGGGTTATGGACTGGTCAATGGATTTATTGACCACTTACAGGTCGTAACTACAAGTAACTATTACGCTATTGCTGATTTCCACACTACAAATCACTCCATGCTAAGTCTTCTCAGTCTGCGTTCACTAGTCATTACTTGGTAACAGCTCTCAACGATGGTTACCCCTCTATAATGTTTTCACTAGATGTTTCCCGGTAACAAATCATCTTAACAATGGAGATTCTTCATCTTCCGTGGCCATACCACTGCCCATAGGTTAACATTCCACATCTTAACTCTCAACTGAACCATAGCACTGACTGCCTTCAAGATAACTTCTCGGCACGGACCAGACGGAAAACACAGCCCCTCCACTGTTATACAGGTGTGTTTACCATGCTGTTGCATAGAAATGGTTGCAGCAGACTATATAGGAAACACCGTTCTTCTACTGTTGCACTCATGTATGTTGCAGGTATTACCTAGCAACAACCACTGTTTACAGAGTGACTGATTAGCAATGGGCCTACAAGCCACAATATATATTGAGTGGAAGCAAACATGTTTAAAATAGTTTGTTCATAATCCTCAAGTGCCAAACCTGATGACAAAGTTTGGAGATTGAATCTCCATATCTTTTATGCTGTTCCCGTTATACTCAACAACTTGAACAATTAGTTCCAACACAGTCTCACAGTTTTGTCCAATGAAAACTGTATGTAATATACGAGGGTCTGCTGCAATAACAGCTCCTTGTGCAGTGACAGCACTACAGGGATCAAAACTTGCAGGTCATAATCTCTTCTCACATCCAGACTGCTTGACAATTTACTTATTAAAAACATAAATTACTATGGCACTGTCATATAAAATTGAAAATGAATAACTAGGAATTTTGGAAACAAACATAAATTAAAATGGGGTGACATTAGGACTAGAGTCAGGAGCAAATTGACAACCATAGTACAGAGAAACAAATGGAATGTGATGAATAATTCTTTGTCCTCGAAAATAGGATAATTTGTATGGTAAGCATGGAAATGCTTTAAAACCAGCCACAGTACAGGAGTACAACAGACATACAGACCTGCAGACAAATCTGACCACATGATAAACACTTATTCTACTAGTGGGCAGACCTAGAAATGGACCTATCAATTCTCAACAGTTTTATCTTCCTCGCCTTTTGCAGTTAAAAATTACAACGCCGAAACATCAGATGTGTGGTGATCAGAGACCTAATAAAAGAGGGGGGAAGGTGTCATAACCTCAGACCACCAGCAAGGAAAATAAACCCCTCCCACCAGGTAATCAACCCAACTTGACATACAACACAGAAAACAATCACCCTTCATAGAAAACAAATACAATGTGTTCTGTGAAAAATGAAGAAAAAATAACAAAACTAAAATGTCCACAATGCAGTGTAGGATTGCGTGTTAATCCTTGCTTCAGGCTATACTGCATATAATTGCATTTACGAAAACTGACACTAAGCTGGAAAAAGAGAAACACAGAAATGTAAGCAAGCAGAGCTATTTCTGAAGTGTCTTTAGACATTTCTGCCTCATTTTGATATTTTATGAAACAATGCAGTAAGAATGGTAGCCTGGACAAAGCTATAAGCATTTCAAGATTTTCTAGCACTATATGGATGTAATTAACTCTTTGACTGGCGCGGGCGTGTTTTAACGCCCGGACGATGCCAGCCGTTCGCGTGTTTTAACGCTTTGACAATCTCGTCCCTTCTTTGCTCTCTTGGCACTCATCAACCAAAGACATATTTATGATAGTTTTTGTGCATGTTTGTAAAGAACCCTTGTAAACTTTGTGGGGGTCTATATTACTGTCAGAACCCTCTGAGAAGGTAAAGGTCAGAAAATATTTCACATTCATTCAGTTTCACCATAGCTTCTTGCAGCAAGTGTCTTCGTTTTCCTACAGACCAGCTGGAAAATGTTGTGAACGAGATTTTTTCTGATGATGATAGTGGCGATGAAATAATGATTCCTGAATTGGATGAAGTTGATAGTGACAATAATACAGTGATAGGCAATGATCCACAAGACAGTAATCATGAACATTTACCTACCACGAGTGCGGTGCCTGACACGCCCATCTCATGAACGTACGGAGACA